GCTCAATGCAGCTGCCCCAGGATGTTGTCCCCCAAATGGGAGAGCACAGCTGAAGAGCGAGAAAGAATCCAGGGCAGTTGCTTCTTTGAGACAAGCACTGGGCTCTAGGATGACAGCATGTTAGGGGTTAATGCTGGTAAAAGGACCGATTTACCCTGAGGGAATATTTCTAAATGATGTGTTGGAATTGAAACCTGTTATCAAGGCAAGTGGGGTTCTTTATTGAAAACATAAAATTTCAAGCTTAGGCTCAGGAAATGGATTTTACTCTGAAAATTAAACCCATTTGTAAGAGAAGTGAGCCAAATGGAATGTGCATGGCCCTGGGCTCTCAGAAGATTCCCCTGGTGTTGACTGTGTGCATCACAGCTCCTGTCTGATGCTCTCAGGCCTCATTGTGCCTCTCTGTTGGCAGTTTCCTCCCGTGCACCCCTTGATGCGCCTGGCTGCCAAGCTCGCCAGCAGAAGGACGAAAGGATTTCTGTCACAAGTATGTGCTGTGTCCTTCCACCATAGTTTCATCCCAGTGTGGTTTATTCCATAGCGAATATGTGCTGTCGCCATGTGGGGCTCATTTTCATTCTCTCCTTGAATCTGTTTCTCCATGAGCTGTGGGCAGAAGTGCTGGTCCTTTGCTGTTTCCCTTCCATTCTGTGACCCCATGCAGTCACTGAAAGGGCCAAAGGAAGGACCGTGTAGCCCCGCCTGACTCCTTTCCTCTCTTCTTGCTTGTTTCACCTGTATGGTTTGATTTTTGTTTTGGTTACTTTTTGGTTCTGTTCTTTTGCCCCAATGTGAAATTTGCCTTTGTAGCAGCGTCTTCTCCCATGCTTTACCCGCCCTTTATCCATACCTTAGATAATTTCTTCTTTTTCAGTTTTTTCTCTAGTTTAGAAATGACCAGTTCAAGTAATAGCTGGACCTGTTTAAACTGTTAATCAAAATATTATTGATCAAGGTTTGTTACATGATAGCAAAAAATAGTATTAAAGAAAAAGTTCTTTTGCCTGTCTTGAGCTCAGGTTCAGAGGCCAACATGTCTTGGTTTGTCTAGAACTTTCCAGGTCTTCTCTGACTCCATCCTTAAACCAAGTTCAAAGTGAAGAATAAGCACAAAAGGCTGAAATGGCTTGTCTTTGAACATTGCCCAAACCAGGAGGACATTTCAAAGTTGGGATTATTAAGAGGTATAAGCAAATTAAGCATATTTGGATCCCAACTACAACTCAGATTAAGCACGCTTGCCTTCCCTGTAAGAACTTGTAGTGGGCCACATCATCAGCCCTTCCTTCCAATTGCTTTTTTGTGCCTGTCTTCTGGTGACCTTAGGATGGAACCAGGAAGGGACTTCATCCCTTCAGAGTAGCCTCAAGGTCATGGATGTGATTCCTGGTGAAGTAACTTGTGCTTCATTCCCTTCCAGGATTTGGCAGCTGCCACTGTGGACTTCACTAAGAAGGCATGTAAACTCTGTGAGAACACACATTCCCAGAAAACTCAAGAGAGGATGGCAGGGAAGAGCTTAGAGCATGCAGCCCTTCTAGACATATTTAAATAGAACTGATCTCACCAGAGGGCCCTGAATTATCTTCTCTGAGCATTGAAATTGGGCTTGTCCTGAGCTAGAAAACAATCACGAGATGACTTTCTTGTCCAGTCTCACAGATGAGTCACCTGGGCCACCTGCTGCCAGGGACTTTCATTCCCTTCCAGGATTTGGCAGCTGCCACTGTGGACTTCACTAAGAAGGCATGTAAACTCTGTGAGAACACACATTCCCAGAAAGCTCAAGAGAGGACGGCAGGGAAGAGCTTAGAGCATGCAGCCCTTCTAGTCACATTTAAATAGAACTGATCTCACCAGAGGGCCCTGAATTATCTTCTCTGAGCATTGAAATTGGGCTTGTCCTGAGCTAGAAAACAATCACGAGATGACTTTCTTGTCCAGTCTCACAGATGAGTCACCTGGGCCACCTGCTGCCAGGGACTTGCTCTCTCTGGTTCAAGGACCACATACCATAGTATACACTTAGAGAGAGGAGAGGTACTTCTGCTGGCACTAACCCCAATCAGTGAATCTCATACTTGAGCATACAATTAGAATCTGTTTGAAACCTGGATGGCTGGGCCCCACTCTGAGATTCAGTGGGGATGCTGTGGGGTCTGAGAATTTTCATTAATAACAAGCTTCCAGGTGTCTTTATGCTGCTGCTGAGACCACTGTTTTGAAACCTTCCCTATAGACATTTTTGAAGGACCTTTGACTTAACATGTGACTGAATAACAGCTTTTACTTTTATGTTGCAGGATTCCACTGCCATACTGGGATGGCCATTTTTCCTTTACAGGGTATAAAGATCTCCTTGCTTCTGTTTTCTTACCTTATTCACTCTCACCATCCCAACCATGGAGTTACTGCAGAGCAGGAACAGCCAGAACCACATAGGAACTGTGCCCCTCCCCCTCACTGGGATGTGGCTCAGTAAAACTCTCCTACAAACTTTCAAAGGACATAGACTAAAAGTGCCTGACCCATAGCACACTTTGTTTCTTTAAAAGCTTTGAGAATCCCATAGGAAACCACCTGTGCTTCTTGTTTCCCTAACTTATTTGGCTATTGAAACTCTTCTCACCTCTCCTCAGTTTCTACCTCTTTTAATTTCCTAACCTTTTAGTGTATTGTTTTTTGGAAAGAATGCTGAGAAATAGTAGGTCATTGTATTGTCTCAGGTTAGAGAATCTGGAGACTACATGGTTGTGTCGGCAAAGTCTAAGGGGAAAGTGGAGTCAAAGATGGATGTCAGGGTCCTGGGAGCAGTGTCATCTTAGATTGCTGCTCTATAGGACCTGTGATGGCTTGCCACGTGACTCTCCAAGGATGGGGGTGAGAGCCAGTGTAGAAGTAAGGTCTTCAGATTCAGTAGAGAAAGGATTTGAATCAAGATACAAGTTCCAAGCAGTTGTGTTTCAGAATTTCTAAGACTCCTCCCCCCCTTTTATTTTTCAGCCAAGGAATGGAAGATACATTGAAGACAAAGTCTAGTAAACAGTCCAAGGTCAACTTCACTGCAGCTTTTCTCTTAAGAAATATTGTATGTTTGACTTGGGGGTTATTACAGTTGGGGAGGTAGGGACACTATTGTTCAAAGAAAAGAATCTGTCTCTCTACAGCCCCTCAGAGGCCCTCAGTCCAACCTAGCAGAAGCAGGCTGTTCCAAGAACATTACAGCCTTTGCTTCCATGCTTGGCCTTGGAAGTATGTTGTTTGTAGACAGAACTATGATACAGATAAAAAACCTCAAGCAGTCTAGGTGTCCGCTCCCCTTACTTGCTTGACCTTTCACCTGGTGTGTGGGGTGGTACACCAACACCTACAGGAAGTCCATGCCCAAGAGCATCTCTGAGCCTGTTTGTCTCTCCTGAAGATTTGGTTCCAGGGCAGTGCAGCCATTGTTACTATCTCTGTGACCTGTTGCCAGGATCAGAGCCCCAGCAGTCTAAGGTATATGGGGAAGCTGCCCCCATGCTGGAACTACCCAGCACACACTGGAGGAAGGTATTCCCTAAGAATGCAGGACTTCTGGAAACCTAATAACCTAGTTAGACATCAAAAATAAATTTAATTACTGATGACAGGAATGTTAATATAGGCATTTTTTGATGTGCCCCATCAATATGTGATTGTAAAATACATCCATAATGGCTTGCAGCTGAGCCTCATCTTGATCCTGAGAATGACTGGACGTAGGTGAACATTTCTCTTTTGCTTTGCAGGATCCAATGGCAAAGGAAAGCCAGATCTTCGGAAGCCATGCAGTGATTATTTTGAAGACATATCAAGTTTCTTTATATGTATAATATTTAAAGATATTTCTGTTAGTCCATATTCTCTAAAATATTTAGATGATAAAATAAATCAGCACGGACATAGCATCTTTATTTTTTGTTAGAAGGTCTGGGGGGGCGCAGATACATTTTATGAATAATGGATGTTTTTAAAAATTACTATTTTGGTATGGAGCTTGCTAACTAACTTGCTAATAATTGAGCACATAGATTAGGGATAAGCTGGCTGCCTTCAGAGCCTGATTCTTCTACTTTATAGCTGGGTAACCTTAGTGTATTAGTCATATTTCCATTGCGATGGCAAATATCTGACTTCAAAGAAGCGAAAGTCTATTTCAGCTGGTGGTTTCCCTCCATGTGGCTTGGCCTATTGCTTTGGCCCTGTGGCCTGTGACTGAGAAAGGCTGCTCACTGCATGACACGATCAAGCTGGGAAGCAATGAGTGGAAGGGGCTTATGCCCCAATGTCTTCTTTACGGTCATGCCTTATACACACTAGGCTCTACTTCTAATGGTTCCTCCATTTCCTAATAACACCACAGACTGGTGATCAAGTCTTTTAACTCAGGGATCTTTGGGGGAAATTCCAGGGCCAAACTATAGCATTTGAGTACATAACATTTCTGTGCCTTGGTTCCCTGCATGGTAAAATAGGGTTTGAAAAAACAGCCTCTTCAGATTGACTGTGTGAGAACTAAGATGGTCCATGGGAAGGGTGTGTCATGGTGGCACTACACAAGTGTGACCTCTACTTATACTTGAAAGATGATTTTCATTCTACAGTGGGCCTGAGGGACTTGCCCCAATGAGACCTACTTCCTTATTGCTGACACCATGAAGTTAAGGGATAATAACTCTAGATTGCTCAAGAACCATGAGGCCTAGGCCTTTACTTCTCAGGCTCCTTCTCTATAAATAGTCCCAAGACCATCAGCGTAGCAGAGGGTGGCACAGAAGATACGTGGGAACAAGAGCTTCTGGAGGTAATTCCTTCAGCCTCAGTGGAGATGACTGACTTGTCCTTTTTTAATTTCTTGGACTTCTCAAATTTTAAAATATTTCTTTGAAAAACCTTAGTTTGAATTACTACTTTATTATTTTTAACATTTTAAGCCTTTGTCCTAAGTCTGAGGCCTACTTTCTGAAACAGAATGTTTGAAGACTACTCGGTAGCTTACCACACAAAATGAGATGACAGGAAGAGATGAGCAAACTTCGCTCTGCCTTGTATTTGTCTAAGTGGGGAGGCTCTGGAGGGATGAAACCACTGTTAATAAGGTGCACTATCTGAGCTGAAAGCTCTTACATAGCCCATGGTAGTTGGTTCTGATTATTCACAGTTTAGGTTGCTTTTGCCTTGTAGGTTCTTCCCAAGATAGGCTAAATATTGCCCACATTTTTACTGATGGGAAAAGAAAAAAGGAAATCAGGAGGGAGAGGTGTGTGGGTCAGGCCATTTCACGTGACTAGAACTCAGTCATATGACCACGTCTGCTATAAAGGAGGCTGGAAATGTAAACCAGCTGTGTGGCCTGGAGAAAGGACCAGTGGGCTTGGTGAGCAGCTAGCTTGGTGGGATGAGAAAACAGAGACAGATGTTAAGTTCTTTCCTCAGATCTTATTTGGGAAAGTTCCCACTGTCTCCAGTGCCCTTAGCTCTCATGACTGAGGCTATCTGTCTGACTATGGAATGGTCCCTGGGCTGTGTTTAGCAGTGGAATGAGATGAGGGCACAGGACTGATTTGGACATGAAGTCACACACCTATAATCCCTATCATCACAGCCTAAGAGTCATTAAGTGTGCATATCTTGCCCTGTGTGAGCACAATGAGGCAAGAGTTAGCCATGCTAAGTGAGAAGGCAGGGCCTTGTCTAATGTGAGCTGAGAAGAACCTGGGCAGAAGAACAGGGAAGGTTGAACCAGGATTTCACATTCTTTTTCTACCCACCATTTAAAGTAACTCTGGCTTCCTTAGTCTTTATAAAGGCATCTATCATGAGTAAGATAAAAGAGAATCATATACATGTGGTCCAACCAATTCCTTTTGGAGTGTTGGAAAATTTTTACTTCTGGACTATTTAATGTTTTTAAATTCTATGATCTCTTTGCTAACTCTTGGCATTTTGGTTTAATATTAAACCCATCAATTTGCCTCAAGAGATGAAGTCACAATAGAACCCTTGAAGGAGAACACAGTGGGGCTTCTTCGTGCTGTTAGTTTTTATCTTCTGCATTCCAGTGAAATAAGATGCAGGGAATTGCTCTAATAAAACAAAGTCCAGGAGAAGCAGCTTTCAGGGCTTTGCAGCTGCAAGGATTATGGGGTGCTGGAGAGACCTAGGGTAGATGATGAAACTGCAGATCTGGAAGAGGAGGTGGTGGCGATGTGATGTCTGACTTTTTGTCACCTTGACATCAAACAGGTGATGAAGAGTGAGGTATATTTGTGGGAAGGAAAATCACGGGAGAGTAATTTATGCTTGGTTGACGCTTGGATGATGGGCAGGATTGTAAAATGTAGTGTTTCATCAGGGTGTAGGGTCCCCACTTCCTCAGCTAGAATACAGGGACATTTTGATAATGAGATTTGTATTACACAGATTCAAAAACTCAACATTTGAGATCTGAAGAACAAGTAAGATTGTCTCTCTAGTAAGATTGTCTGTGTGTGCCTGACCCATATCAGTGGGACAGTTATATTCTTTGAACCATTCATTGCCCCGCTCTGCCCTGTATCGTCGAAGTAGGGTTGTCACTAGTTTGTTCCACCTTCGTGACATGTGTGCGCTAGACTCAGGCTTGGGAATGGCAAATACATTTCCTTCCCTTGGAAAGGAATGGAAACTAGCACCACACTAAGGGAATATAGTGTACGCATGGATGTCTATGTTTGACTGCCAACTTAGATTTAGAAGAGAAGAGAGGGTCTTGATGGGCAAACTTCTTATTCACCAGATCGCAACCTCAGGAAAGGAGAAGGTATTCTTTTACAAGTGGAGGCAGAAGAAGGGGTGGACAGTACAAAAACCTGTAAAGTGTGGCAGGTGATCTGCCAGCAAGATCTGGAACCCCTTCCTGCTGCATCTGAGCAGAATGTGGTGACTGTCTGCTGCAACTGGGAGCAGGGAGAAGAGGCTTAACCGTCTGGACCAGACGCTGAGCAGAGGAAGGAAAGGAGCTGAGGGAGAGAGCCCATGGCCCAGTGACTATAAGAATTATTGAGCCTTCATTCTGGACTCCCAGGGCAGCTCCACTTCTCCCGGGGTAAGAGTCTCCATTCCTGAGTAGTTCTGTGATCATTCTCTGAAAGGATAGGAAGAGATGGCTGCAACCAAAATAATTAACTGTTTCAAGGTTCTTTAGGATCTTTAGACTATGAGTGAACTGGTCTGTCTCCTTCCACTGTGGTAAAGGGGGACATGGTACTGGGGCTATACATTTCAGCTCCAGCTTAGTGAGGAGATTTTCCATGAGGACTCTGTCGACCTACACAGGGTAGATCTCCCTTGACTTCTGCCTAGCCTTTACCTCCTTGTCTTTGTCATTACTTTTCTAATTCCTGGTCTATGTTATTTCTCACACATTAGAACATCAGGAGATCAGGAATTCCCACTATGTAAGTCAATGCTATACAGGAGGTTCTTAACATATGCTTAATACACAGTAGGTGGTCAATTAATTTAAATTCAATAAACTGAATTCCTACAAGACCCAATAGATCGTTGCCCATCAGTATAACTTGAGATGACATTTAAGAAGAGGCTAAGGTCTAATGTAGCTGATATCCCAACAATGGCAGCCAGAACAGTCTGGGGGCTTAAGAGCCACCTCTTTTTCTGCCTGTACAAAGCTAAGGGCTTTAGACAAAGTCTGGTCTACCAAGGCTTTTCTTATTACATATTCAGCAATCTGATTACCCAGGTCAATCATGACTGAGTGTTCAGACTGACAGCCTAGCCTAGTGCCCTAGCCAATGGGAGCCTCAAAACAGACCAGCTCCATGGACCTACAGCTTCCCCATGTTCATGGTCACCACACAGAGCTCTGAATTCTGTCTTGCTACAGATAGATATAGAGGTAGAGGTAGAGATAGAGATAGAGGTAGAGATAATAGAGATAGAGATAGAGATAGAGATTATATGCTTGATAGGTGAAGAACTCTAGCATTGTTAGTAACTTTAGAGATGGTCATTTG